CTGTTCTAATAAAAACTGTCTCTTAAAGTATAATTAACAGACAAAACTAATACCAATATATGTATACACACAATACAATCTATACACAAAATTTTATACACGATAACTAATAATAAAACAAAAAATAATTTAACTAATATATCAATATGGTCACAAATATATTCTGAATATTGTGATATTTTAAAATTCTATACTATTCGGATTAAAAAAAAAGGCATGAAATTCATGTCTGAGTGTGAAGCCTCTTTATTGTGAGTTTCAGAAACATAAGTAGTGGGTGTAAATACTGTCAATAGATACATTATATACAGTAGCTATATCCACTATTCGCCATTTACTCTAAATGTAATAAAATCAGATTAATATGGCGTTTTGGTGTTTACATAGTTATTTTTGGTTACTGATGTTTTAATCATGTTACTTGTCTGGCGTTAATGAAGCGTTAATGTCAAGCCCTGGAGTCTATGTGCCGGGGCTCAGCCCCAGACGGCCTGGCCCAATTTAAACCCTGGTCTTATGTAGCATGATGCTACAGTGTGCATATGACCCTACCATAGACAGCAAGGTAACTACCACGTTCAAGGTCCAGAAAAGTACCAAGATGATCAACAAAGTAGTCCATGTGACATCAGTGGTTCAACTGTAAAGTTACGAAGCTACGAGAATATTTTTTTGCGCAAAGAAAACAAAAATAACGACTTTATTCCACATTTTCGTCTCTACTGCGTCACTTTGGACGCGCGTTCGAGACAGTATCATGACGCGAGCGTGTGGCAGCGCCGGCGCTGACCCAGATGTCTATGGGAGGGTCAGAGAGCCCTCAGATTTCATCAAAAATATCTTAAATTGTGTTACGAAGATGAAGGAAGGTCTTACGGGTTTGAAACAACACGAGGGTGAGTAATTAATGACAGAATTAAAATTTTTGGGTTAACTAACCCTTTAAGTGTTTTTTACTTTATACATTCTAAATTAACTTGATGTGACAGTTTGGTGCAAATGAAACAAAAAAAAACTGTGGAAACAGTGATACACTTTATTCAGGATTCTTTGATGAATAGAAATTTCAAAAGAACAGCAAATGTTTGAATTAGAAATATTCTATAAATTTAAAATACAATTTTACTGTCACTTCTGATTAATTTAATGTGTTTTTACTGAATAAAAGTATTAATTTATTTTTATCAAACTTTTGAATGGAATACATTATGGTAGCATATAAAATATTAGCCAGCACAACTGTTTTCAACATTGATAATAATCAGAACTGTTTCTTGAGCAGGAAATCAGCATATTATTAGAATGATTTCTGAAGGATCATGTGACGCTGAAGACTGGAGTAATGATGCTGAAAATTCAGCTTTGATCACAGGAATAAATTACAATTTAATATATATTCAATTAAAAAAAAAACTTATTTTAAATTGTAACAATATTCTAAAATTGTACTGTTTAGTACTAAAGTATTAATTTATTTTTATCAAACTTTTGAATGGAATACATTATGGTAGCATATAAAATATTAGCCAGCACAACTGTTTTCAACATTGATAATAATCAGAACTGTTTCTTGAGCAGGAAATGAGCATATTATTAGAATGATTTCTGAAGGATCATGTGATGCTGAAGACTGGAGTAATGATGCTGAAAATTCAGCTTTGATCACAGGAATAAATTACAATTTAATATATATTCAATTAAAAAAAAAACTTATTTTAAATTGTAACAATATTCTAAAATTGTACTGTTTAGTACTGTATTTTTTTAATCTAATAACTACAGCCTTGGTGAGCATAAGATATTTCTTTCAACTTGTGACTATGTATGCTGCAATATTAAATACATTACAATATAAATATCAATATATAAAAAATACTTTTTTAAAAATCTGTGTTTATCTGTATGGCTCAGCCATGATTAAACACACAGACATCATCCTCTGATCTAGAGTTCCACATTCCATCAAACACACACTGCGGTCCTGATCTATTTCTGCCCTTCTGCTTTACACAATATCACACACACACACACACACACTGACTCTGTTGCTACAGTGACATAAGCAAAGTGATACATGTGATTTACATGTGTCCGCTGAAATTAACTCCTGTCTCCTCTCTGAGCAAGTGTCACTAACATCTACGACACAAAACTAACTCTTAAAGGAGCCACAGTCTACACATTAGAATTTCATTTTCCTCCTCTTCCTCCAATTACAATTCTTAGTCTAAATGTAGTTTTATATAAACAATTAAACGCTAAGTTGCTGTACAATGAATATGTTATGTTATGTAGGCTGATATATGTTAACGTATTTAGCTATACATTATTAGAACTAAAACCATAAATAAACATCTGCAATTACTTGAAATAAAATGGTAACTAAAATAAAATCTTTAAGCTTTATTTCAGCTAGTTTTCAAGGCAACATTTCTATTATTTTAACTTGATGTACTAAAAGGACTAAAACTGTATTAAAAAATTAATAAAAACAATTTTTTATTATAGGCATATTTAAAAACAACAACAACTAATAAAAATGACAAAAAACAACAACAAAATCTTTAACTAAAATTAAAATGAAACAGAAAATATAAAAATAAAAATTTAAAATATTAACAAAAATTATAATCGCATCTCAACGATATTAAAATAACACTGCTTTTAAGTTTGTTGCAACATTTGCTAATCTTCCGATTTCAAAAAATATATCAATAAATGTTAAAAATAACAAACTTTATTGAATTATTGAACATGAATTATTCACTGTACAAACATTCATTCATGTAAACTAATGTTAACAAAAGAAACTACTGTAAACGAAAAAAAAAAAAAAAACATTACAACAATTCCTATGAAACGATGTGCAACGACATCAAATAACAACTGTGTCTGCTCATATTTTTCCCATAATGCAACTGCACTATTGTGCCTAGTGACATTTCAATACAAATTCTGTTTTGGAAATATCCAATAAAACCCTGAACCTGACGGGAACAAAATAATGAAGGTGCTTTCACAAACTCCACTTCCGTCTGCAGGCTTTCTGAGAGCGTTTGTGTCTTTGAGACAGTCAAAGTTTCAGGTAGCAGACAGACTGTACGTCAGGACTGATGGGGTTTTAATAGTTTCTGTTTGGTAAACACAGCATTACGCAGCCTGAGAGCCAATGACAGCGCAGCAATGGGAGAAATGCATGAGGATTATCATTTCCGAACGCAAAACACTCATTATCCTTCACTCGCTATCTCTCTCACACACACAACCTTCTCCAGTATCCTGTTCTCAAACACTGTTCCGCTCTAAACCCACGCCCACTTTTCAAAATCCAGTCAAAGGATAAAATTAAGTTCTACAATTTTTTCCCATTTCACTCGGAATCACAGTAGATTATAGATGTAAAACCGGTTACAAATTATTACAAGATTAATCGTCTTTTACGATTAACAATTAAAAGGAATTACAGATTAATCTTTTTTTACGAGGGAATGAATGGATTACTAAATGTTACATTTGATCGAATCAGTCAATGCGAGTCATTTTATATTTTTTTTCTTATACATTTTACATTTTCACTTCTAGTTTTCACTCCTAGTGGAGAGCTCTATTTCAGCATGAAACATCTAAAAACTGGCACACTGAAACTACAGAGCAAAACGATCATTTCTATCCTCTAAATCAGACAGGATGCTTCGATAGCACAATATGAACCCAGATGTTTGGCTTTAGTTACACAGAACCCAACTGCTGACGGTTTAATACGATCCGAGGTTCTGCCATTAGCAGTTCTCAATGTCCTATTTTGGACTTACAGGCCTTGAATAGACGCTGGCATTCAAGTGCATGTTGATAAAGTAGAAAGTTAAATACAATGTTTCAGACACAGGTATCAGAACTATTTGTCTGTAAAACCAACATTTTTCCTCTTTAGAGAAACTCTCCTCAATTCACTAAATGCCCTGAATCCTAAATAACCCACAGGGATCAGTCAAAATGACCATCTCATTCATCTCCTGCACAACCTGAAAGGCTTTCTCTGCACGGTTGATTCTGGACGCTGATCTCTGGGTTGGATCCACCCAGAGTTGGACTGGATGAAATGAGCACTTAGACAAAAGCCACACAACTGGAACGGGAAGGAATGTCCCTGGAATTTCACATCAGAAGCTTCTGTATTCCCAGAAATACTCTCTTTGTTGGAGATGAACTTGCTTGCACATTTTTTTAAAGAGAGCGATTAACGTATTAATGTAACACTAACAAAAATGATAACAGTACACTCTTAAAAATAAAGGTGCTTCACGATGCCATAGAAGAACCTTTTTGTCTAAATAGTTCCATAAAGAACCTTTAACATCTGAAGAACCTTTCTGTTTCACAAAAGGTTCTTTGTGGCGAAAGAAGGTTCTTCAGATTACAAAAAGGTAAGAAAGAGATGGTTCTTTAAAGAACCTTTGACTGAATGGTTCTTTGTGGAACCAAAAATGGATCTTCTATGGCATCGCTTGAAGAACCTTTTGAAGCTCCTTTATTTTTAAGAGTGTACATAAATATAATAATCATTCTGTACTACAATATATTCAAATATCATAGCATTACAGTCTGATACCATAATACAAATTAGCAGAAACTCCAAAATATCCAAGTCCAAACTTCAAGATAAGCAAACTGACTTCCAAGAAAGAGCCTGAACAATCAAAACCAACAGCAAATGGACAGAAATATGACAACATTTGTATCCTCCAAGGTCCAAATTCCAACTTCACAGTAAGAGTCATTAAAACCAAAGTACATCTACGACTAGTGAAATCTCAAAAGAGCAATGTTACACTTCACAAGTAAATTCCAAGCGACCAAATGCAAAGTCCATCCTGCCTTAATATTATATATTACACCTGTTACATCAGAAAACAAAGTCCAAATGCCTCCACATAAACTCTACAATGAACCTGATCAACTCAAATCTTTCCTGTATGGTATTTTAGCCCATCCGTTCTCACCTGTATCTGCTTCTCCTGTATAAAAATAATCCGTCTCCTCTAGAAGAGGTTGGGTTCTCCGACTGCTGTTCCCCATGTAGAACCTGGACAAGTTCTGGTTACTGAACTTAAGAACTGGTTTAGACTTTCTCCAGTCGGATTCACCTCAAACAGGGATTTTTGGAGGTGATATTGGACATTTTCTTCAAGCCCCAAGACATCAGCCCACTATCCATCCACATCCAGGTCACTGGTGGAAGTCAGAAATAAGCATCAGGGATTAGAGACATCACTCAGGGTTCGTGGTTAGTCACCCTCAGTCGAATCTCATGACATCAAACCGAGTAGAATCTAAAAATAAGCTCATAGAACTGCAGAGAAGTCCGTCTGCTCAGAGTTCCATGTGTGCCGGATGATGTCGGAATGCCAAAACATCCCGATTCCAAAAGGAACTATGGAGCAATGATGGTCTAGATCCGCAGATGAGCAACTGCCTGACATGTGAGAAACGATCGATAAAGCCTACGGCATGGAAAACAGCGCAAACGAAATTACACCGATCTGGAAAAAGACAATGGAAAAGTGGTCAATACATTTTAAACCTCCATTACAGGAGAAAAAAGCAGCAGACATCAGATTATACAGCTCAAATCAGAGCGGAGCGCTTGCAATTCTCAATCTCGCGTCTATCCATTCCGTACTTTATTCCCACAAAGCCCTGCACGTCCACATACACACGCCTGCTTCTCTCAAACACACACACACAGCGCAAGCACCATCTAATTACTGAAGCTCAGGACAGTACGAGCATGTTTTTCATTCTAGTAATCTACTGCACTCATTTCTCTAAAACCCCAAATTACAGTTTTGGGATGAAAAACGAGTGGCCAGAGATGACTTAAAATAATTCTGCCTTTATTCTGGCCAATCAAAGGCCAAAACGTCTCCAACAACCAATCAGAATGTAGTACACTCAAACGAAACCAATCAGGATTTAGAAGCTACAGCCAAATAAAGCCCATCAAGTTAGCGGATTCATTTAAAACCAATTTTATTTTACATCACCATGAACGTGATATCACTGAAATTACTCTATTTCACCAGTAGTGTGGCTAAATGTTCATGTAAGTGAATGCATTTGTAAGTGAAGTTGCAAAAAAGAAACTAATTGGCATGCCAAAATGAACAACTCTGAACCACTGAGATTGTTTCACAAATCAGAAAGAATCACAATGACAACCACTTAAATATTCACATTAAAACTTGACTTACAGAGCAATTTGATTGGTCGATTTACACTGTAAAAAGTGTTAAGTTGTAAATAAATCAAAGATTAAGAAAATACTATTTCAATAATGTGTTACTTGCCATATCTTTGTCACTGTTTGTGAAATTTACTAGCAATTTCTGATTAATAATTTTCAGTGTAGACTGATTTGTAAAATGTAGCTCAAATTATTTCCCCCCGCCCCCCAAAAAACATTGCAATAATCACTTAATTCATAAACAATAAAATACAACAAATGTGTACTGTGAAAAGTGTGTTGCAAATAAATGTATTTACATTGCAAAACAAAACCATTATAAATACATAATATATATACACTCATTTATTTGAGTATATATTTATATACTTTTTTACATTTATAATATATAAACATTTATTTGAATATATATTTAGGCCTATGTGTATTGTGAAAAGCACTTTGCAAATAAACTGACAATTTTATATTGCTAAATGTAGCTTAATTTTATATTGCCAACAAAATTTTCATGAATATATATATATATATATATATATACACAATTTCTCATCCTGCCAAGACATGCACTAGTCTTAATCTGTCGTGTCTGAATTTCTCAGTACTATGTTATCTCTCAGTTTACTGCTAGACTATGTTTAAGACACAAGCATGTACATGTGAGCATTCACACACACACTTTGTTGTCTGGGATTTACATAGCAATGCAACTATTCATAAATAAACACACACACACACACACACCCGACCAAATGCATTACACATCCATGCGCACTTATAAATAATTGTGTTGTCAGGGATTTGCATAGCGATGCAACTACTCAGAAATACATCCAAAACACCCACCGAATACATGACACATTATTACAGTAGAGTTATTTTGAGAATGTCACAATCTCTCAACCACATGAAAACACACACAGACGATTCCTCAGAACCGCTCATATATACAGGGCAGGACTTCTGCAGAAAACTTCTTTTAAGTATTGAAGAAATGGTTTCTTGCAAAAAAGGAGAATTTTGTCATGATGTTCCGAAGCTGAAATACTTTCTATCTTCCATGGAACATAAAGGGAGAAATGCTGAAACAATGTTCTTTTTTTAAACAATTTAAGTATAGAAATTTATGAGGGGGGGATAAAAACAATTGGCGTCTCATAGTTTAAATTCTGGCTTTTTTCTCAGAATTAAATGATATAAACTCACAATTGCAAGAAAAAAAGTCAATTGTGAGTTTGTCTTATAATCTTTTGAGATATAAACTCACAAATCTGAGAAAAAGTCAGAATTGCAGTATATAAAGTCCCAATTCTGACTTTTTTTCTCACAATTGTGAATTTTTCCTCTCAATTCGTACTTTTTTCCTCACAATTGCGAGAGTTTATAGCATGCAATTCTGAGGGTAAAAGTCTGAATTGTGAGATGTAAACTTACAATTGCAAGTTATAAAGTAGGCTACAAATTGTAAAAAATAAAATAAATAAAATTCTTTACAAGTTTGTATCTCCCAATTTGACTTCATAATATTTTGAGACTCAAACTCACAATTCTGAAGAAAAGTCAGAAATGCGAGTTTATATCTTGCAATTCTGACTTTATAACACACAATTGTCCGAACTGTGAGAAAAAAAGTCAGAACTGAGGTAATAAAATTTATTCTGTGGAGGAAACGGGCTTCCATAAGAAAGTTTGTATCAACATTAGGGTGAAAAAATGACAACATTTTTCATTTTCTCTGAACTGTTCCTTTAAAATCATCAATCCCGGGAAGACATGAGCGCATGATCCCAAGATTTCTCACACGCTAATTTTCCTCCCCAAAGTTCATTTTCTCACTGGCGTAAGGAAGTTGAGGGAGGTCCGGAGATTTATCCGAAACGTCCATCGCTTCTCCTGACCAACAGAACGCACAAAAGTAGAGGTCGACCGATATGCGTTTTTCACTGGACAATGCCGATATTTAGAAACCAGTGCAGCCGATGGCCGATATATGATGCCGATTTTCTTTATTTTTTCCCCCTTCATCTCATAAAAGTGAGTTTGAGTAAATGATTATTGCAGCCAGGGTACAAGATAGTAATAGTAGTCGTAGCCTAATTCAGAGTAATAATACAAGGCTCAAAACTTAAGCACCTTCTCAAAACAGTTCTGAAGCATGCTTTTTGTTTATGTTTGCTGACAGACACCAGTGTTTCCCACAGACTTGCAAACGCAAATTCATTCTCCGCCAGCAGGAGGCGCTGTTGGAGCGGGAGATATAGCGGTTTCCCCGGTAACGGCTGTAATCAAATAAGCGCTGAGCTCACAAACGCTACTTTATCAGGCATTACAAGAAAGACGAAATGAAAATGACATCGAAGCTTTTCTGAAGACGGTAGGTTCTTTCGAAACGGTCTGTTTTGCCCTGCCATCATTAGCTGAAGCTGTGTGTGAACAAGAATCGGCTGCAGAGTGTGAGTTGCTCCGTCTCTCACGCAGCCAGAGAGAGATTCTCCGGTGTTCTGCAACAACGCTTAGCTGCCGGCAGATGCGCCTGCCTATAAATCGGCCTAATTTGCAGCATAATGCCGATTATTTAAAAAATGCCAAAAATCGGCCGATTAATCGGTTGACCTCTACACAAAAGACAAACAGGCGACCCGGTATCCAAACATAAACCTCCAAAATAGTGAGTGCTCACATACCCGTCCCGTAGACTTCCTACAGGTCGCTACAAGACAGGACACAACGTGGACCTGAACAAAACATGCAAGGAATGCGGCTTCACAAACCCTCTCCGACTTGAATAAAACAGCCAAATTATGTCCGTATATTGTTCAAATTAGGTTCATTCTCAAATAAGAAGCGCCCTGACATGATGTATATGGCTCAAACACATTCAGCCCCGCTAAAATGTGCTTTTCTCAGCTGTGTCACAAAGGAATGTTCAGGTGAATAACGCCTCGGGATAAGCATTCTTTCCTTTCCCACAAGATCACTTCCATTTCACTAAGAAAACAGTTTGATTGCTAAGGAAATGCATAGTGATGGACCAATACCAAAATCTTAATGGACAGTTTTAAATGTTAAGATTTATCTTAAGTAATTTTTTTTAAAGAAATGAATATTTTATTCAGGAAAGATGCATTAAATTGATCAAAAGTGACAGTAAAGTAATTTATCATTTTACAAAAGATTTGTATTTCAAATAAACGCTGTTCTATTGAAATTTCTATTTATCAAAGAATCCTAAAAAATAACATGTATAAGTTTCCACAAATATAATAAGTAGCACAATGGTTTTCAACATTGATAATAATCAGAAATGTTTTTTGAGCAGCAAATCAGCATATTAGAATGATTTCTGAAGGATCATGTGACCACTGGAATAAATTACAATTTAACATATATTCAACAGAAAACAGCTATTTTAAGTTATAATAATATTTCACAATGTTACTGTTTATCCTGTATTTTTACTGGAATAAATTACAATTTAACATATATTCAAACAGAAAACAGCTATTTTAAGTTATAATAATATTTCACAATGTTACTGTTTATCCTGTATTTTTTTGAGTAAATAAATGCAGCCGTAGTGAGCAGAAGAGACTTCTTTCAGAAACATTAAATAATCTCATTGACTCCAAACTAATAATTAAAATAATAATAATATTTTATTTTATGTAGGCCCTTCTTCAGGCACTTTGTGGAGTAAAAGCAAAACATTTCAATTAAAAATACTACATATTTATAGAATTTTACCTGTTTTCAATCTATATATTAATCAGTCTATAACCGTTCAATCTAGAATTTCAATCTGAATTTCTATAAGTGTTACAATGTACAGTAAGAAAGACAGATATAAATGCATGAAAATTTAAATAAATATAAATATTATTTTGAAATGATACCATCTGCTTCCAATATCAATCCAATCAGCAGCCAATCATTTAAAATAACTGCTCAGTAATGATATAGTAACTGATGCACTGCATTGTTCATTCTTAGTAACAGTCATTAACCGAAAATGAGCTTTTTATTACAGCAATATCCACTGAGCAACAACAAAACTTCCCCTGCAGCCTCACCCTAAACCCTGACCCGATCCGGGCGTCCAGGACAGCTGTTTAGGGTGAGGTGATCAGGGGGATTGAGTTTTCTTCCCACCGCCGAAAGAAACCTCCTGTCGCTTTCCGTTACTAGACTCACCACAACTAGATAGACACATCTAGAGAGACAGACAACACAGTCTGTGTTGTCATATTCCTAAACTTAACATGCAACATGACAGCATCCAACTCTGTCTAAAGAAAGCCAACGAGACTGACAAATTCAACATAGTTAACTAATAAAGACAAATGCCGCCTTCAGCACAAGAAACATGACAAAGGCAATACTG